GAGACCGAGCTCCTTCTGGCAGGGGAGGGGAGCGGTGCGGGTGCGGGAAGCGGTGCCGGCGTCACGTCAAGGTAAATGCGTATTGCGGAGCTCGGCAGCCCGAGGGAGAGAGGACATCTTACGGTCTCGTCTGTCTAAAAATAAATACATTGAACAGTGATTCATGTTCCCTGCGCTGCCTCCTCTAACCCCCGGCAAGCAGCGCGCTCACGGTGCGGCCGTGCAGGTGCGCTGCATCTGGGCAGAAGGTGGAGGGAAAAGGATGTGGGCGCTGCAACAAGTGCCGGGGACGGGCGGCAGCTCTGCAGGGAGGAGGCAGCCTGAGCCAGCTTTGTGCTCCCGAACAGCGAGCCCCTGCCCACGGGTGAGCAGCCCTGCTTCGCCCTCCTGAGCAAGCACAGATCGTAGGCAAAACACTGCAAAGCAATAAAAATGAGATTGCAGTCAGGAACCTGAAAGTGACTGCAATTCTTACTTCAAATTATCACGCGCTCAGGGCATCGCTGTGGTGGTTTTATTCTGCCGTTCTGACAGGATTTTTCTTGGTACCATAAGGCACAGGGATTAAAGGTTTGGTTGTGCTCAGGGTCCAGCTGTCAGTCCACAGAAATATTTAACAGTACTGATGCACATGTGATCTGCAGAGAGAAGTCAAGCCGTGCTGATCACATCTGACCCTGGGAACTGGTGTGTTACAGACGTGGCTTTCCTGTGTTTAAAAGCTGGTCAGTGGTGGCTGATTCTAAAATGGGCACAGTCAGAATCCAAGAACAGTTTGGGGTGGAAAGGACCTTAAAGAGGATCAGCTAGGTGTTGCCAGCAGACTTGCTGAGAGTACATTCAGTTCCAGTGTCCATGTCCCAGCAAAGATGCTGTACAGCACTGGTTCCAGTGCTGGCCCTTCAGGGACACCACTCAGCACTGGCCTCCATTTGGACATTGAGCCATTGACCAGTACTCTTTGAGTGTGACCATCCAGCCAGCTCCTTATCCATGGAAGCCAACTCTTTATCCACACGTGTGGGTAGAGAATACCAGACACTTCAGCAGTAAGCCCTTCCACATACAAACCAGAATTTTATGTTTTAATGATAATTCAAGGCTTTTCTACGCAAACTATTGCAAAACTACGTGTTGAGTGTTTTGGTTTTGGGGTGGGTTTTTTTTTATTTTCAGTCTCAAACCCACTCTTACACTTGTGAGCATTGTTTTTAATATAATAATTTTATTTTGTCTGAAAAGCATGTTAGCCATCTACATCCTTTTTTGGCCCTTCTGCAGGCTCTTCAGTGGGTGTTAAGAGAACAAATGAAACGAGTTAAATTGCGGTCACTGGAGTAAGTCCTGTTGTCTTCATTGGAGTAATGATTTCATTCACTTCACTTAGAAGAATCTCAGTGCATCTGGTACAGAGGTAATGAAAAAAACTTGTAGTCAAGACTGTTTAACATTCTATTTTTATAAAAACAAATCTCAATCTCAGATTTTAAAATTCTAATATGACTTTGTTGATATTGTTCTCTTAAAGAAAGATGCTCTGGTTCCCGTCATCTCTTTCTTTTTTCTCTTTGGCAATAATTGATTTTTTTCTTCTCCTTTCTTTCTCAGAGGGTACAGAACAATGGATTTTTCATCACTGGCTTTGTTTTTTTTGTCAAACATAATTTATAATGCTAGTGTCATCAACACAGTTCTGGGAAGTACAACTTGATTAGTTAAACCTCTGGCTGGGTAACTACCTTCACAGCAGCCAGATAAACATAGTGGAAGATGAGAATGATCAGTGGGCTAATAATATTTTTAAAACATTTCTTGATGTAATAGTGTACTTCAAATGCAGAGCAGAATACTCTCAAACCAACACAAAACATTTTCAAGGTAGAAACTGATTGTTGTGTCCCTCAATTACTGAGCAAGCCAGTCTGATTTCATTGTTGCTGTCGATGATCCTACCAAATAAAGAAAAGGAGGACTCTGAAGTAATTTACCTCTGAGCATTATAAGAGCAGCAGCATTTGTATACCTCCCAATGCCTTATTTCTGCAGCCTTACATGTTCAGAGCATCTTGACCCATGTGTTTGGCAGATACAGCTGACATTCAGTCACTAGCTCTCAATACACACTGATTTCTTATATGGTTTCTTCCAGTTGTCCAAGCCAAAATGCATTTCATCTGTTTTCTGAGGTCAATGGCCTGTGATGCTAGAGGCGCAGATTCTCCTCTTGACATAAAGCAAGCCATGTCTCTGACTATGGATCATCTACTCTGTCTCATTTATTTCTCCCATCAGTGTTCTGTTCTGGGTAAATAAGGTGTAAAATAAGCTTGTCTTACTTGAGTAACATTTCATAAATCATACTTGGTTGTGTTAAGAGAAGAATATGTTACTCATTTTATGTAGAAAATTAGACCTGTAAGTGGAAATGAAAGGGTTGCTCAAAAAAAAAGAAGCACTTCAATTATTTAATTTGGGCAATACCCTTGTCTGAGAAGCAAGTGTTCTTGAACAGAGCAGATGAATAACCCACGGATGGATGAGTGTAATCCATTCATTTGTGTGTGTGAAGCCAAAGTCTTTCAGAAGCCAGAAGTCCAAGTGATGATCTGAAGTATATTTGACAGTGTACTACAGGGAGCCAAAATAGCAAATTTTTTAACAAATTCACAGGCTAGGTCTTTTCATTTCCAGCTTCTGTGATTTAAATTTGAGCCCTTCTATTGGCTGAAGATCACCAGAAGTCATGGACAATTGTGTATTAAGCGTGTGCCTGAGGAAGTATCAGTATTAGATTAAGATGAATGGATGTAAATTCCCCAGTTGACTGGTGAGACTTTTTTTCAGCCATATGAGCAAATTCATGGATCCTCTGTTTTACTGTCCCTTGCAAAGAAAAGGAGAATTTTGGATAGCTTATCTACAGTGTAAGTTGTTCCCTTTAGCACTGTACATTTCTTAATGGTGACCTACCTTTTATGAATTTATGCTAACTAGGCATAGTCTTACCCAGTTCTCTAGTTTTGCAGAAAAATCCTTACATTAAGCAACTAAGATACTGCACTATTGCCACTCAGTACAGTTACAAATACTTGGTTTACTTTCATTTTAAGTGCACTTCACCCCATATACTGTGATATAACAGAAAAAAAGATGTGTTTGTGTGTGCATGTGCCTATATATGTGTACAGACAAATATGTGACTAATAAGTATTTGCCAGCTATGTAAAAGAGGATTCTAAATAACCAATTATAGTTTGCTACTGATGGTTTTTAGAGGAAAGAAAGAGGCAAGTTACTTCCTGATCAGAAGTCACTGCCTTAAGTATGCAAAAAGGTATATGTTAACTTAAAGAACATCTGAAAATAAATGTGTCTTCAAAACTAGCACACCTCTTTCCTGTGGGGCTCCTGCTGTAGGTAATTTTGCTGTGGTTATGCAGGGGATTGTGAGTTTTGGGGAAGGACTGTCCCTCTCTCTACCTTCTACAGAGTAAGTCAGCAAGTTCCCGGTCCTTAACAAATACTGTGCATCCTTGCTGAGGCACTTAAGTGCCATGGCCAACAATCTTTATCTAACATCAATGATCTCTGAGGAAACACAATAGCTCCTTGTGAGTTTTGGCTGGTATGTAGGCAACAGAAAAATCAGCCAATGCACAGAACTGATGACCTAGCAGCTAGTCTCATTAAGTCAGATTTACTTACTCTGAAACCTTAATGGTCTCAGTGAGGTTGGAATTCACTGTGTGTACCATCAGCCCAACTACGAATGCAGAAAATCTGCACTACCATCAAGCAGATATAGTTCTTCCTAATGAACTAACCAATGGAGGAAAAAAAATAAAAAGCAATGCTAACCTTGTGTCTGCTGGCACTTGGTCCAGAAATCTCCCTTAAATAACAGTAGGCCTATGTCACACAGAAGACTAATTGCATGGGACAGTCCATGTTTTGACCT